ACCTATGTATATTTGGTTGACTTGATGGTCTATCCTTAAGTCCAGTTTCAGTGGGCCGTGAAAGTACTAAAGCCCAAAAGTGGTTTAGTACTAGGCTTCTAGCTTTCCTTTAAAAAAGCCCAAAAAATATCAGTTCCTACACCTAGGAGGCTCGGAGTAGGATTGGATTGTTCCCTCAACTGAATTCCTGCTGGGTGTAGGCGTAAAGCAGGTGATACGCTGAAAATGTGATAGAAAATCTTCCTGGGAGGAGTTCCTCGGAAAGCAGAAGAGAGCCAGTGCCGGTAGTTCACAATTAACAGACCCAAAAGGAAGAAACAATCATAGACATGTCATCTTAATCAAACCAGAGTTAGAGGATGCCGCCGGCTGCCGCTTCTGTTTCTGCTACTGATGGGAACAAAATGCTTCCGTGGGAGGATGATGCACTCGGCCGATGCGTTAAGGTAAAGAATTTTGGGTACAGTACATGTTTGAAGGGGAGCTTCCGCAAGGGCTTGTGCCACCTTCAGGACCTTCCCCGTACCATGACACTCTTGGCCCTTACTATCAACGCCATTTCTTAGCTCCCTGACAATTATTATATTTTCCTGCCCCTAATTTATAGCAACATTTTCTTCTTCTTTGTTTATAATTTTTTTAAATAGAAGAGAACTTCAGATCAAAGTGTAACAATCTAACCAATTACATCATTCTTTTTTCTGACTTGCAATAAGTATCAATTTCAAACTAAATAGCCATAGTCTCAACTTGTTGATATGTGGTTTCCTCATCTCTTTCACGCATTTTGTTCCAATACTATTTGGTATATCAACTCTAGAATTTGTGTATTGATTAATTAATTAATAACCTTTACATACAAATATATGACCCTGCCACGTCTCAAAATTTTATTAGTGCTTAAGTTTTTCTTCTTGATATGAGAGTAGGGCTAAACAAATACGAAATTACACAAGTGTCAAGCAATGCCACTTTGGATTTTTGCCGACGGGAAGAAGAAAACTTTATTATCAAAACCAAACAGGCAATGAGGCAAACACATTCTTAATCATGATTAGCAAAACGGGAAGGGAAAAAAGCACGATGACACAACAACCCTCATTGCACAGCGGCTTTAGCCATTCAAGCCCCCTGCTTCTGCATCTGCACAACCTTTTTCCAGGAATCCCGGCCGGAGATCTCACCCCACCACCTGCCGACGTTCTTCCTGGAAGTGAAAAGCTCCCCTCTATCTGTTGCGCTCACCAAGTAATGGGTATTAGGCAAATGCGAGAGATCAGCCAGAGAGAACTCATCGCCAGCCAAGAACCGACTCTCCCCAAGCCTCTGCTCGTAGACGTCGAGTACTTTTCCGAGCTTCTCCTCGTTCTGTTTAATCACAGCTGGGTCTTGCTTGATCTTCATTCGCGGTGCGAACGCGAGCTGGAAAACCAGGACTGAGCTCGGAGGATTAAAGCTCTGCCCTTCAGCCTCGAGCCACTGATCTATTGAAGCTTTCACCAATGGGTTAGTCCCGTACAATCCCCTGTTTCCCTTATCTGCATACTTGTCGCATAAGTACCGGCATATTGCCCTGGATTCTGAAAATTTTTTTTCCCAAAAGAAAAAACCCAGAAATTAATCAGAGAAAAGATGCCGGATTTAACTTTAAAGAATAACTAGAACTGGGAATTTAGAGGAGAGATTGAAGGCAGTTTCAGAGGATTACCAAACAGGGAGATTTCTTCATCTTGAAACGCGGGAACTTGGCCAAATGGCTGTTAAATTCAAGAAATCAGTGAGGAAATAAATATGCGAGAAATGAGAGGTTTAATTTTTCCATGTACCTGGATTTTGAGGAAATCAGGAACCTTGTGCTCGCCTTTGGACATGTTAACAGAGATAAGCTGGAAATTCACATCTTTCTCAAGAAGGCAGGCCAAAACTCTAGAGACAGCCGTGGACAAGGGTGGACCGTACACTTTCACTGGAGTCGCCATTGGAGGTGAAGTCTCTGAAGCCTGAAGAGATTGGGTCAGTCGCCTCTCGGGTTTTCCACCGCAAATATATTACTAAAAGAATGAAATTCTGGAACCAAAAAAAAAAAAAAAAAAGAATGAAATTCTTCTGACACTTTATCCCTTGCTTGAAAGGTAATTACATTTTTGTGGAAATTGCACCTAGCTCCCATGTAGTTTGAAATGGTTTAATTAACTCCCTACATCATGATAAAACATTGTATTACTAATTTCCAGCCAAAATAAACTATATATTACATATAGTACTAGCTTTTTTGGTACATTATAAAAATTCAATCCATTATTTTCACCTCAAATGAAAGTATTTAAGATTTTAAGTAAATATCAATTTAGTTAAACTTTTAATAATATTAATAAGATAATTTTTTTATATTTATTATTAAAATATTTTTAATTAATTTTTATGCACTTTACGAGTAATGTGTTACTAAAGGATATTAAAGACTGATATATCTAAATATGGATCATCCACTAGCCCATATTACTAGAGTCCCTTTTTCTTGAACATCATTCATTGCTTTGGCTTCTGTTATCCCCATTTCCCCAGAAAATGTGAATAGTCCGAAAACTCAGACAAGAACAACTATTAGTTAAACAAAACGAAAGGAAATCGAAGTGGGGAATCGATCAGAATCTAGCAACACATTAAAGTAGAATTAAAAAGAAATCGAAGTTCAGAAGGAGATCTGAACACAGCACCATGTTGAACGAAAATGAATAGATTCATTCCAATTGTATGTCTATCTTCAACCAAAATTTTTCCACAAACAACAGAAATTTTGCAGCGAAATCACAGAAAACAAAATTTTCCATATAATACGTGGAAAATAAATTTGATAATAGCAACTCTTACATGTTTACGTCCACAGATACTAGCAGAAACAAACTAGTCTTTTGAGATTGAGAGCATGATTGGTTTGCTTCATGCCAACTTTTCTTTTCTTTGCTTTCTCAAACATGCGAGGGGTTAAGGGAATTTCTATATTACAAGGCAGGACTATCCTGCAATTTGAAACCTGGTCATGAGCCAGGGGACCAGATACACTACCACTACAGCTTGGCTGTAGGTGTCTTCATGCCAACTTGTTAAGGCCATGAAAGAACCGGTGTTTTCTCCTCTTTGAATGTCGCCCAGAACCCTTTGACATAACATGGGGCAAAAAATGCACCTACAGGGCAGAACATATATGATGTATCAATAATGAGACAACACTAAACATCTCATGTAATTGGTTCTGATTAGAGAATGAATGTATAGAATTCAGAACTAAAGACAATAGCCACCATTGAAAATGAGAACCAAATCTGCAACAGGTTGGCTTGGACTTCAAATTTCAGTTTAGTTTACTTCAATGTTTTATGATTTTATAAGAATGACCCAATTAAAGATGATGGCATCCTCGTATTCATTAATATCTGATTTGTACAAAAAGCATAATCCAAAGACTTCCAAGTTTTCCAATCAGATAAACTCTTGAAAAATGAACACCATAAGCAGAAATATACTAGTAGTACAGAGACCAAGGAAAACTCATCTCCAAAAGATGCGTAAGATAGAACTAAAACCTGGGAATTATTCCGTATGCCAAAATCCTGAAGCCCAGACTTCTCATCAAACAGCTTCTCATTATGGTATGCTAGGCAGAAATTTTCCCATACGTGCTTCCTACAAAATGCAAACCTCAAAAAAGGTTCTCTAAATGAAAAACTATTTAGTTAGATGTTAATTAAGCAAGAAAGAGGCAGCATAATTCAAAAAATCAGCTTATAGATATTGAATTCAACTATATGTTAGTTATACAAGAATGATGGTAATGGAACAGAAATGTCTGAAATCACTTCAATACTTCAATTTTAAATAGAAAAAGAGTATTTGGGCAAAAAAAAAAATCAAAAAGAGTATATACATATTTCAATATTGGGTAAATTTTAGTTTCTTTTCTTTCCTTTTTGAAGTTTCTAACTTTTAACGTTCCTAGGAATGCAACATGGAGCTTAGCTTCAACAGCAAAAGGTTTTTCTAATGCTTTCGGCAAATTTTTCAACAATATAAAGTTTTATCTGCAACTGATTATCTCTAATCGAGCAAACAAAATGCAGCTACTAAATTGAAGCAATACAAAAAGTTCAACAAAAATTGCAGAAGCAAAACAAGAGAACATACCATGAAATGTGGCGATGACCCATCTTAGATTGCTCCGTTTCATTCACATTTTTCTTTATCGCAAGTTTCAAATCCTTAACCGTAGCTGAATTCATTACCGCGACATCTTCATCACCGAAAAAAAGGACCCAATAAGTATCTAATTCCAAAATGAAGCAAGACCCACCATGTGTTTGTCAAAATGCCCAGTTGAGAGAGAGGTACGTACCGAAGGAGGTGCAGTCTAATTTGAGGACAGAGATGCGCATGGCACTGCCCAGTTCGAGGTTGATGAGGGTATCCACGTCCGATAAAGTGGGTTTCTTGGGGACATCGCCGAGAATGGGATCGTCGAGGAGAGCGGCAAGGGTTGAATGCAATCTCGCCTTCTTCACGTTGTTGCTGTTGTATCCTATTCTGTTCTCTTCCTCCTTCGCCCCTAACTCCATCGTTGAAGCAGGAATTTTACCGGTGAACTCTCCAGAAAGCCGGAACCCATTAATTGTTTAAGCTCCGCTAGATGGAACCAGCATAAGTCGGTGACTCGACGGGCCAGTTGAAGAGTGGATTAAGGGTTGGGCTAGCCCAATAGGCCGTGCAACTAAGAACAGCTCTTTCTAGAATGCCCCTTAATGCGAATGCCAAAACCCTTATTTTCACCCTCCATTTAATTTTTTTTTTACGGTCAACACCTTTCAAAAATTTTCCCCTCTATTCACACTTTCTACTTTTCAAAACCTGTGAAAAACTCAATGTTTTAACCGGTCATCATGGCACCGTTAAAAAATGCACTACGTGGTACCTAGAAATTGACGTGGCACATGCGGCATTTTTTTATTCGTCAAAATCAGATGTAGATCTGTTTTTTGATGATGTAGCTTCTTTTCTACACACGTGGACACCATATGTACAGTGAGAGCAACAAAAAAAATTATAATATTACCAAATAGTAACATAAATGGCATTTTTTCATTTTTTTTCTTTCTCCCCTCATCCTCAGCATCATCTTCACCATCCTCCATCTCTCTCAATGGGTTCCTCACGGGGAACCCAGTTCTGGGTTCCTGGGTTCCTGGTGGGGAACCCAGTTTCGATCATTTTTTTTTCATTTTTTTATTTTGAATGTATTTATGTTAGTTTCCTATTTTATGCAAAGCAATTTGGAATAAGTTTTTTGTTGGAAAGATGAGTTTTTTTGCTTAGAGATTGTTTATGAACAAGTTGCCAATTTGAGTTTTTTTCGTTTTTTGTGGGAAAGGAGTAGAAGATGCTTATCATGTTTTTGTGCAATATTCATTTACTTATAATTATGTAGATGAAAATATTAGCTTGTTAGGCATTTATGTGAAATTAGGTTCCACGAAGAACTCAGAACTTAGGTTTCGCGAGGAACCTAGGAGGATGAGGACGAGGATGGTGAAGATGATGTCGGGAAAGAAGAAAATGAAAAAATTAAAATTAATTATGATTTAATTATAACACATTATTAAAAAAAAAAGTCCAACATTGGATTAATAAATGTGACATAAAGTCCTGGGTTCCTGGTTCCATGAGGAACCCAGGAGGATGAAGAGGAAGATGGTAAAGATGATGCGGGAAAGAAGAAAATGAAGAAATTAAAATTAATTATGGTTTAATTATGCCATACCATCAAAAAAAAAAAGTCCACATTGGATTAATAAGATGACATAATGTTCATGTTACTGTTTGATACCACATATTACAATTTTTAACGGTTATTAACGGTGCCGTGATGGTAGGTTAAAATATTGGGTTTTTCACAGTTTTTAAAAAGTTGAGGGTGTGAATAAAAAAGAAAAATTTTGAAAAGTGTTGACCACGAAAAAGAAATAAATAGATGGTGCAAATAGGAGCTTTGGACTCATGCAAAAGGCCCGTAAAGATACTATTTTGTATTAGATGTAATATAAACGAAAGGGAAAAAGTATTGCTAGTTACACTCAGAAGACACCAAGGACTATTTTTATTTTTTCTTAAACAGAAACTGAAATTGCTTTTCATTAGATATAAGTATTTACATGTATGGACAAATAAAAGCTGAGCTAAATTATATCTATTAATTTAAAATTTTTTACTTAAGATCAATGTGAATTATTTAAAATCTTATAATATTAAATACTGTAATTAAAAAAAAAAAAAAAACCCAACAACAACGTGGTCACATTGTAATTCTTTCCCCCTTGAATAGGAAATAATCTTTTTTTCTTTCTTTCTTTCTTTCTTTCTTTTTGGGTATTTTTGAAAGGAGACAATTAATACAATTATTTTTAACTAGAAAGGAGAATAGATTCCAACACAGACATTTGATGCAAATTGATGCCCTTGATTTTAATCCCTGTGTAATATCAGATACAGAAATACAAGAATGACTTACAGCATTTTTCCTGTTGATAGTCTTTTTTCATTAAAACTAAAAGATTTTAAATTTAATTTATATAGTAAAAAAATAAAGTAAATTAAGAGATAAAAAATTATTTTTTACTATCCAAGTCAAGAAAAAAAAAACATTTATTTTAACTTTTCCAAACTAAAATTACTCTCCTCGGAACTAATTTTCCTTTGTATAAATTCACATTTGGTAGGGTTCATTCAAGCAAGCGCTCTACTATTATAGCGATTACTTCACAGCACAATTTAAGACATCCAATTACAAATCGATCCACCGAAGATGAGCATACTATTAATTGGAAGGATGCCCAAGAGAAACCAAAGCAGGCATTTTATGGACATTCACATCCAAAGGAAGCAAGCGGTATTCAATTCCAAGATGCCTAAACACTTTGATCATTTCTTCCATTAAAAGGCCTCTCCTAAGCCATCTCTCCATCATGTCCTGGTAGTTCATTCTGTGCTTAGACCACACCATAAACTTCAGCTTATTCATGTCTTCTACATCCTTCAAAACCACTGTTGGATTTTTTTGCCAATGTTCCTCCTTACTCTCTATGTACCTGAAATACCATCCCAGCAAAACAGGACAACATCAAGCTTCTATATATTGAGAAAAGACAGATGAGACGAGAGGGTGAAGATGCTTTTTTGCGCATACTGGATTATCTTTTCTTTCATGAGGGCAATCTTTTCTGTTGGAGTTGAGATATGGATGCAGAATTCAATAATTTCAATCATGTCTGGACTCCTGTAGAAGTTTCCAATGGGCTTGGTTGATAGAACACTGTTGGGGTATGTGACTTTTTGGCGATCATTCCTTAAGAAAACTGTTGTTAACAAATTCATTTCTTCAACTATCATCTGGGGCTCAAGCAAATCCAATACAAAAGATTAATTTATTATAATTCAGAACATTTTCCTGGAAAACCTTCAAATTTAGGGTTAGATTTACCTGAACTTGATCAATTTCGCAGCGATCTCCCACGTCAAATGGGTGCATAACGAACAAAAAGATGATTGCTTCAAATGTTCTCTTGCAGGTGTCTCCAAATATAAAGACAACTACAAGAAGCTGTGAGCTTATGAAGACAAGGAAGTGTGTCACTGGGATTCCAAGGATGAACAGCGAGATTATGACAATGATGATTGCTACCAGAATGTTCAGCATGTTGTGAAGTTCATCGACAGCTGTTTTTGTATCATTTAGAGACAATCCAAGTGCCCGGCGCTCTCTAAGGGCGTTAACCTGAAAGAAAAGAAGGTTTTTTGTTTTGAACAAATCCAAGAGTTGTAGATAAAGGAGTACTGATTTACCAGCCAATCATTCAGTAAAGACTTGCTGATTCCTTCATCTTTGCATGTTGCTCCAAAGAGTTGCATTGCTTTTACAGCCTCTTCTCTACCCATAAAGCGCATCATATCATCAAGGTCGATGTTTCTGATATATGAAATTATCAGCAATCTTCTATGGAAACGTCACTTCATTTCTGATTCAACACTAAAGCAAAAAAGACTTACTGAGAATCTGGCTTAGCTACATTCTGAAAAATCTTCTTTGCTGCTTCTTTTGCTTGAGATTCACTCCTAATCTGCACAGCTGACTCGTCTCCTCTGCCTGAATTCAGTATCCTTTCATGCAAAGTAGCTAATCGTCCATGCCTGAAGATGTTAATCATCCTCCTCATATTCCAAGCTGATATATTCTTCTGATTCAGTTTCTGCAGCTGCTCAATCCGGATCTTCTCCTCTTTCTTCCCAGACATCACCGACGAAAACTTGTGGTTCTTCGTAAGGAGGGGTTCCCTGAGGTTACCAGTCTGAGTATTATCTGCATTCTGAGACTCCTGCTCTTCTTCATCTTGAGGTCTATGAAGTTCAAACACAGGTGGATTGGAGAGAGTTTCAATTACATACTGATTGAACAAAGCCTCCTGGATTCTCTCAAAGAAGGTACTTACATGAAACGATGAAGCAAGGACTTTAACTAGGAGGGTTTTCACGAGCCAAATCAAGTTTCCAGCCAAGAAACACACCAGCATCCTGGTTACATAAGTCAGAACCTGACTTTTGCTCTCCTTCTTCACCCCTTCGTCGAAGACAAAATGCCAAACAAGCAAAACCAGACCCAACCAGAGGCAATTTTGCACAGCCTTCTTCAATCCATAGACAAAATAAAGAACCCTTTTCCGGAGGAGGAAATTGCGCTCTATAATGATGACAACAATACGAATTGCGCAACCTGATATTAATCGTCCGCAGATTAATGCCAAGACCATTATCTCCCATTTCCACAATGGAAGATCCCAAAGTTTTTGCCTTTTTATAGCAGGAATGGTGATGCTACAGAGCCAGGCTGCTGAAATTAGAGCCAGACTAACCCATTGAAGTAATGTCAATGTCCCAAGTTTCGTACACTTGTCTTCCTCTGAAATGTCTTCAATGTCACCATCATCTTCATCATGAAATTCTTCTGCAGAGCTCATACCATCATTTCTTTGATATGGTTCCTCAGGTGGGTCAATCAACCTGGACTTGGCCTTATTCACCACAACCCTCCATGAGTTCCTTGCAAAAGAAGAATCTGAAATAGACTGAGAGCCGTCTTCCTCTCCAGACCGCAGGCTCTTTTCAGGGCCGGAGGTGTTCTTTCTCCTTTGTTTAAGTGCTTCAGTCAATACTTCTTCAAATGAAACTTTGAATTTCTTAACGGAGCGAGGGACTCTCCTGACTGAGCTCTCACCGGTGGACTTTGAAGCACTCCCCGTTTCTTTACCGTCAATCTTGACAACTATTTCTTCTTCTTTCTGCACTGAGGAACCAGAAGACTCTGCCATTGCAATGTCCTTGGAGGGAAGCAGAAGAGAGGATGTTGTTTGGGGTTTATTTATTGCTTAGCTCAAGAAGAAATTAAATATGATTTCAGGGACTTTCTGGATGGTCCACTGGAAGAGCTTAGGTTACAAGCATTATATAAAGCACTCCTGAGGATTCTGCCAAAATTGGCCAAGATATGCCCACCAACTTCTTTTTAAGTTGGGTGGTACTACATCAACAACTTTTTTATACTATTTTTTATACAATTTTCATATGTCATTAAATAAGTAAATGTATTTAATATCATGGGTCTCATCTGAATAAAAAAATCATTTAAATAATATGTCAAGTTTTACAAAAAAATGATATAAAAAAGTTATCCCAAATTTTTTTTTTTAAGTTGCTAAATTTATCTTCAATTTTATTTGTTTATACGTTTTAAAGTAGTTTTTTCTTTAAAGAACGTTTTAAAATAGTTGGATGTTTGAAAATATCTATTCATAAATTAATTTTAATTTATTAATAATAAATATTAATTATTCTATCAATTATTAATTATTTTTAATAATTATATTAAAATAAAAATCTAACAACCTTAATGGTCCTAACAAAAAATAATTGTGACCATAACCATGACCCCATTCTGGGCTATCTGGATAGCAGATCAACTCAAAAGAGAAAAAAAAATTTTTTGAAAGAGAATGTCTACTGTTGTTTTCGGGGAATATGAATATATACTTGCTAATTTGGAATATTTGAAAAATGATATTATTCTGATTAATTGGGATTAAGGAATTTATAATCCACAAAATCGAAAAGAAAAGAAGGGCACAGCTATAAAGTGAGGAGAAAAGGAGATGCAAAATGTTCGGCCAAAAGAAAAGGAGCTACATGGCTTCTTCTTTCTGATGGTATGTATTCCCTTCTATTAAAAGCCACTTTTTTTTAATTAAAATCTGTTTCAAAACAAATTATTGTTTTTTTTTTTTTTTGGGATTTAATTGAAGAATCAAATATGCTTAATATGACAGTGTTTGAATTGAAAAGGTCCGTTATCAGCATGAGGAAGAATAAAATAAAACAAAACAAAACAAAGCACAAAGATGAAGAAAAGAAACAGAATGGCTCTATTTGCTGCATATATTCATTAATGCCAGTGATTTGTTCTTTCTTTTAAAAAGCATTTACTTTACCGACTAAGGCTTGGTGTAATATAGCAATATTATACTAGCGGTTAACAGTTTTATTTAAATAGTTAAATATAAGTTTTTAATAAATTTATATAATTTTGATAAATCATTATAAACAAAATATTTAGTAAAAATTTTATTTAGCAGTTTAGTATTAACAGATAACGATTAAGATTCAAACCGTTAACAAATTAAAAAAATTAGTTTAAATAATTTTTGTATTGAACCGTTAGTGAATTGAAATTTTTTAATTTTATTGATAAATTTATCTTTTTTCATTTTTTCATTTTTTATCGTAATTTTTAATTAATATTTATCTAATAAGTTTCAATTTTTTTTTTCACCTTTAATAATATTAAGCAATTATAATATTTTTATTTTTTACATTAATTTATCATTAAATAATACATTATCTTAAAAAACAAAATTTACTAATTAGACAAAATGATTAATTTTTATTTAAAAATAATATAATTTTTCCTTGTTAAAAAAATGATAGTGTAATTACATTATTATCATTAATTTTATTTATTTATTTTCTTATTATTATTTTTATAAAAGTAATAATTTAATCATAATAAATAAAAAATATTTTTAAAAAAATTCACTTAATTATTTTTAAACATATCGTTGTTACTTGTTAGTCATTTAATATTAAACAACAATTACTAATTATTATATAATCAAATAGTTATATCTATCAAATTCACTATCTATTATCCTTTACTCACTTTTCATTATCCGTTAACAACTACTTGTTATTCACCATTCGCTACCTTGCTATCAGTTGAATTTTAATCACTGTACCAAATAGGTTAACTAACAAGTTCGAGTGCTGATTGATTTGTTTCATTAAATTCAAAGCATTCTTAATTTCCTATGATCTTATTATGGCTACAACTACCCTGTAGCACCTCTTCACTGAATTCTGCATGAAATAAAAGAAAGCAGAAAAGAGAGGAAGAGGAAAGGGAAAAGGAAGCAAAACATATTTTAATTTCTAAAGGATATATACATGCAGCTTTTCATTCCAGCTGCTTGCCTAAAATATGATACAAGGCTTCTGGACAATCTTTCTGCCAATCCTCTTAGTTATCTTGTACAAAGGAGTTTCTAAACTTAAGCGAAAAAACAGGCCTTACGAACCTTTGGCTAAGTCTAGCAAAAGTAGTCGAATTTCAGAGAATTCAGGTCTCAAAGATGGATCCCTCTGCCAGCATCTATCAAGCAATTCCACCAATTTGGGATGAGTGTCACTTGGAATAACAGGTCTTAGTTCCTGACATTCACATAATAAAATGTAAGTCACTCTAGGTAGTCACAGAAAAAATTTTTAAAGTCTGGAAATCAAGTGGAGTATACTTGCATTGCATATTGATATTAAGTACAAATCTAGTTATTTAGAAATATAAATATACAAGTCTGCTTGTTAAGAGAAAGAAAAAGTGTTGCTGATAGTGTATGACTATTTTGTAAAGGTGTATACCTTCTGGACAACACCGATTGCAGCTTGTAAAGGTGTTAAGTTCTCATATGGAAGCTGACATTAGTGACAAAATATAGAAGATGTTGGTTTTGGAGTCTGTGCAATCATATACTAAGAGAAATGAAGATAAACAAAAATAAATCTCAATAGGAAAATTGCTTCCCATTTTTTTCCTGTAAAAAATAGTGAAAGCATCACCTTTCCTGTTAGCAGTTCCCATAGCAAAATCCCAAAGCTAAAAACATCAGCTTTATGATCATATGGCTTGTGTTCAATCACCTTCCATGCATTGATACCCAGTAATCATGTCAGAGAGAGATGGAGAAAAACTAGCAAAGGCAAATGATAGTTACAATCTCACATGTGGTTCATTACACCTAAGGTTATTAAAGGCTGTCGAGGTCATATCACATATGAAGCACTTAACTCATGGAATTTGATGATCCAAACCTGCCTTCTCTTAAACATAGTAACCAAAAACTTCAATACCCATTTGCTAAATTATTTAATTAGGATACCAACCTCTGGAGCCATCCAGCGATATGTTCCAGTTTCTGCAGTCATCACACCTTGAGTTTGCATCCTAGCAACACCAAAGTCGGCAACTTTAACAACCTGTGGGGCAAATTTTTAAGAGTGTTAACAAAGATATAAATCAAGGACCAGCTGGCTTAAGCTACATGTGACAAGCAAATAATCAGGATGCATACTGGTGCTACAGACTAGAGTTTTACAATAGCGTCTCCAGAACCATTTGTAAAAATTAAAAGGGAAAAGAAATTCTCACCTTAATTTATTTAGACTATTGTTAATTGGAGTAAAACAGCAGTCAAGGTACTACACATTAGAAGTTAATTTAACAACAACTAGCCACCAGATAAATAATCTCCTAAATAAACAAGCAGCTTAAAGATTAGAGACTCTACGCATCTCTCTTCCCCCACCACAGCCTTGCCACTTGGTAGTACGGGACTGTTTCATGTGCCACCCCTCTAGCATCAACTAAAATAAGGATGGAAGAAATGAATATGGAAATGTGATTAAAAAAGCTAGTAAAGAAACGTGGTTTACACAAGCCCTTAAGAAGGACTTCATTGAATCAATGATAGGAAGAAACATAGTATCCTTCAACCCCACTCCCAAAACCAGAAAAATGGATAAAATTCAATTTGGTTAAAGTCTGATCCAGTAAGACATAATAAGTAGTGCAAGATAATTGTGTGATGGATCACACTGGCAGCAACCACCAAAGGTTTTTAAAGGCATGCCAAGGTTTGTTGTAATGCCCTAGCACTAATTTGGCACAACCGAAGAAGACAAGCATAATTGAAAGTTTGAATATTAGTTGTGACTGTCTTTCTTTTACTTGCCTTAAGTTACTAAGTTGCAAATAACTAATCACCACTGAGAGCAGGCATGTGCCGTTTTGGCAGAACTCTACAAATAAAAGGCAACAAAACTACCAAAGTGAAATTTCTTACTCCCTTTTCATCCAACAAAAGATTGGCAGCTTTCAGATCCCTATGGATAATATTTTTTTGGTGCAGGTAGCTCATTCCGTTGGAAACATGAATTGCTACTTCAAGTAAGAATGGAAGCTCAAGACCACATTTTTGTTTACGAAGAACGTCATACATGCTTCCCCCAGCCATGAATTCTAAGGGAACATGCAGAAAATAAAAAATGAAAATAATTTTGAAATGAAAATGCAAATAATTTATTCAGTGAATGGAACTATATCAACAACAAAAGTCATCTAAAAGTACCTGTCACAATACAAAGGTTTGAAGGTTTGGTACAAGCACCAATGAATTTAACAATATTATTGTGCTGAATTTTCCTGCAAATTTTAAAGGAAGATTTACATGGGAATAGAAGAAAATCTTCCTGCTAGAAGGTTGAAAGAATGCTAAATCGGAATTGGAGAAAATGAAGACACTGGGACAGTGCCCAGAAAATTGAAGCTATAAACTGAAAAAGAAAACAGAACATAAGATAGCAATGCCAAGGCTAATTACAGTTAAACAAACCTCAAAATATCAACCTCTTGATTAAACTCCCTCTGCATATTTTCATTTAGATACTCAGTCCTAAGAACTTTAATGGCAACATCTTGACCACAAAACGTACCTTTGTACCTGCATTTATCAAAACACATCACTAAACTAGTATTTATAATTTTATACACAGAGCCAAGCTGTGATACACACAGAACTTACAAATCACCATAGGACCCAAGTATCAATTTCCTTTCAAACTTCAAAAGGTTAGCATCAATTTCCCAACTATGATTAGATAGAAGCTTTTTCTTAGTGTACTGCAGCCCCCCAACAGTATGTTTGGCATGATCTTTCAACCAAGGATACTTCTGCATGGAGCAGATCAAATTATCAAAATATATATATAT